AATACAACAATTGTTCTCATAAGTACAGCTCATACATTACCAAGGGCTTTATCAATGTAAAATGTATGTGATCTTAGGTTAAAAAATGTTCAGTAGAAAATGTCATGATGCCATTACTGACCTTTGGTTTCTGGCTGGGACCCGGAAGGAAATGTGTATACAACAGAAATGAAAAGAAATAATAATAATAATAATAATAATAATAATAATAACCAAAATGCAGATTCTGTGATAAATATCCAGAAACGATTGATCATCTTGTATCAGGTTGCACGATATTGGCACCCACTGAATATAAAACTCGGCACTGGAAAATCTGCAACTTCTACGGGAAGGAAACTGAAAGAAAATGGTATGAACACCACCCAGACCCGGTTACGGAGATAGGACCTGTTAAAGTTCTATGGGACTACACAATACACACTGACAGAACAATCAAAGCCAACCGGCCAGATATTGTTATTAAAGACCACAAACAAAAACGGTGCCTCCTTATTGATATGGTAGTCCCTGCTGACTGCAATGTATCTTTGAAGATATTCAAGAAGCTGTCAAAATACAAGGACCTTGAAATAGAAATCTCGAAAATGTGGCATATGGGAACATTAACAATCCCTGTTGTAGCTGGAGCCCTAAGACTGGTTGGAAAAGATTGCAGTAGACTTATTGAAGGGATTCCTGGAAGTCCATGCCTCAAGGAGATACAAAAAATTGTTCTGACAAGTACAGCCCACACTTTACGAAGGGCTTTATCTATGTAATATGTCAGTGGAAAGTGTCATGATGCCATTTTAGGGACCCGGAAAGAAATGTGTAAACGCCAGAAATCAAAGAAAAGAAAATAATAATAATGACGTCATAAATAGTCTTAAGATTTGTGCAAGCAATAATTTTTGGAATAAATGTCAGTCAAAAAGAAAAATACCTTTGATACGCTATAATAATAATAATAATAATAATAATAATGACTCTAAATGACATCAGACAAATGGATTCTAAAACAAGAAAGCTTCTTTCTAAGTATAAGATGCATCATCCAAAGGCTGATGTAGACCGTCTATACATACCCCGTAAAGAAGGTGGAAGAGGTCTTATTCAGCTAGAATTGTCATACAAGACAACAACTATTGGCTTACTAACTTACATGGAAACAACAAATGACTGGATGATAAAATTAGTGAAACAACATGAAAAACAGAAGAAAAAATATTCTAAAAGAAGGCAGTAAATACAAACAACATTTACATTTAGTAGATTCTGTAGTAAATCAAAAACAGAAGCCAAGAACCAACTATTGCAGCAAAAGATATGAAAAGAAAGCCAATGATAAAGCCCTTTGAAACAACGCTGGCAAGACAAACCCTGCATGGCCAATATCCAGAATGCAAATAAACCCAATGTTGATTTAATACTCATCGATGGTTACAGCATCTGGATTAAAGAAACTGAAGGCTTTATTCTTGCAGCGCAAGACCAGAGTCTTTTTCTAGGAATTTTCAGGCAAATATCATACATAATAATGTGGATCCAAAATGCAGGTTCTGTGGAAACAATAGACCATCTAATCTCAGGAAACTTGCCCCAAATGAATATAAAAAAATCGTCACGCTTACACTGGACAATGCAAACAAGAAAAGTAAAAACAATAATGAACATCGGACGTTCAGAAATAAAGAGTCACCATTCTATGGGATTATACCATCCACACAGACAGAAAAAATGAAGCAAATAGGCTGACATTATTGTCAAAAACCAGAAAGAAAAAAAACGCTTACTAATTTGTATAGCAACCAAGGAATTTGAAAAACTATCAAAATACAAAGATGAAATTGAAATAGAAAAAATGTGGAAATTGAAAACAAGAATAATAAGTGGTAAATGCACTTGGAATTATAAAAATGGAACAAAACAACACATTGAAAGAATGAAACCCCAGCTTAAAGAGACATACAGAAAATTGTCTTATTAAGTACACACACACTAAGGAGAACTTTGTCTATGTAACGCAACTTCATAAAAAAAAAAAAAAAAAAAAAATTAATTTATATGTGCACATGCAGGTAATTGTCCATAGCAGAAATCGAATGATGATGATGATAATAATAATAATAATAAATAATGTAATTAACGATAATATTTATATGTGCACATGAAATAATGTTGGAAGTAAAATTTTACTATCTGACAAGGTTTCAGATTCAGGATGTGCACGATGAATTCTCTCACTCTCCGAGTAATTCGGTGATTGTTATCATAAGGAATCTGCGAATCTACTTTACTTTTTCTTGGTAAAAGGAGACAATTTACATTTTGTATTCCCCACATCGATTATCAACTCATTTGGAACCCTTTTCGTATTATTCCCAGACCTCTTCTTGACAATTTGCAAAATTAACTTGTAGAATGTTTGAATGACTCGTCGAACAAATACGTTTTTTAAATGTTTTGGTGTTCCATGGCGATATCATTTTTTTTTTAAATGTGAGAAAGCATTTTGCTGTTTGCATCCATTTATCGTTCTAGACAAAGTTTTCAAACAATGTGCATGATCCAAACAGAATTTCTGTCAATTGAAAATTATATGTGTGTGTGTGTCTATGTGTGCGTGTTTGCGTGTGTGTGTGTTTGCCTTTGAACAGGTTCCTAAAATAAATTTGCCAAGTTTATCCATTTCATTAAATATGTAAGAGGCTATTTTTAAAATTATAATCAAATACAACTTGTCTATCTGTTCTTTACTTTCCATAGCTTTTATACCATATTCTTCTAAAAGAACACATTTTATACCATATTCATTATAGAGAACATTTTATTCTTCTAAAAGTACACATTTTATAACCATATTTTTCTAAAAGATCACATTCTACGCCATATTCATCTAAAAGAGTACATTTTATATCATATTCTTTTAAAAGGACACACTTTATACCATATTCTTCTAAAAGATCACATTTTATACTATACTCTTCTAAAAGACACATTTTATAGAATATTCTTCTAAAAGAAAACATTTTATACCAAATTCTTCTAAAGCGACACATTTTATATCATATTTTTCTAAAAGAATACATTTTATACGATATTCTTTTAAATGAAAATATTTTATACGATATTCTCCTAAAAGAATACATTTTATACAATATTCTTCTAAAACTACACGTTTTATACATTATTTTTCGAAAAGGACACATTTTATACTGTATTCTTTTTAAAGAACACATTTTATACCATATTCTTCTTAAAGAAAGAGTCGGCAGGATGAACGGCTCGCCGGCCGGATGAAAACTTTGAGAACTTCTATTGTAGAAAATGAGTCAAATCGAGTTGCAGAAAAATTAACAGACAGCACCAAAAAGCCGAAATTTTGCCGATATTCTAGGGGTTTTGTCGAATCGGCAGTAAATTCCAAATAATGAATATCGTTTAATTTTGTCGCCTTCCCCCAGAAATGAATGAAAGTTTTGATGTTTCTTAAATGCTTCCTTTATTTACATACAAGACATATATACATAATGAAAAAAATATGATACTATATTAATGCTAGAAAAATTTCAAAAATCGAAAAAAATAAATGTACTCCTGAACTTTTTCCTGTTCTTTCCATTCGTTTAAAAATACCTCGCTTCTTCTTGCTTTCCTTCTTATTGGAAATCCTTCTCATTAGTTCCTGTCTTTAGGAACTCTGGGAAAGCTTCTGACTCTTCGAATTATCACCCTGATAGTCTCTTATCTCTTTTTGGCAAAGTACTATAGGGTCTTTTTGTTTCCAGTTTCTCAACATAACAAGAAAACTTAACATCTGGGAGAGACAGTTGAAATTTCTAATGAGGAAAGAGGGCTTGGAGAATGTGATACTCACAGGAAAGATTGAAAGCAAGACGGAAAGAGAAAAACAGTGCGTAATCGACTTAGTAAACTTGAGTAAATGCATGGCAGAACAAGGTTTCGGAGAAATAACAAAAAGATCAAATTTACTAAGAGCTACGGAGGACAGGAAATTAGAAGAAACTGTTCGATTTGAACTGTAAAAATGATGAGACCTAGCCGCCAATCTAGTACTGCGCTTAAATTCATAAATTCTAGGTATATAAGAGGAAAGATCATCAGGACAATTACTATGTAAGTATTTATAGAAAAGGCAAAAGGAAGCTACTTTCAGTCAGACATTTATGTGCTATACGTGATACACGCTTAGGTAAACATGTATCTTTCGATACATGACTGACGAGGCAGATTTTTTTCCAGCAGTAGGTGACATTTCTTTCTGCAGTAGACCAGTTGCCATCCAAAGCTACAGAACCCGGTCTGTCCTGCTATGTATCCACAGATGGAGGGAGAAGAAGAGGATTCATACCTTTCCCAAGGGTATTAGCACGTAAGTGAATGTAATGGATTCGACTGGAATTCGAACTCGGTTCATCGATTCCTAAATCCGAGCCGCTATCCATTACTCCCTTCTATATTACGGTGATGGAACAGTGACTGAAGCCGAGATGTTAGGTCAAGCCCAATGACATTGCAGTGTTTTTTTATGCTTTATCAAGTATATCTAAATATTTACGAAGAGAACCAGACCATATGTGGCAGCAATATTCGAAACATGGATGAATGGTAGACTTATAAATATATAAGATAGATTCGGGCGAAAAGAATTATCTAGCATGACTCAGTGAACCAACTTTCCTAGCAACAGAACTAGCAATTGATTCAATATAATATTTCTACTTTATGTTTGTGGGAAACGTTATCCCAAGAAGGCGCAATAAGTCATTCTCCTGCAGGTTAATATCAGCCATACGGATGGAAGGCAGAAAGAGGTTTATCAGACGATTCTTATAATTTCTCTCTCTAAATACTTACAGTTGGAGAGTTTATCAGGTTTTTTGGGGGTATTTTTCTGAAATGTTTTCAGCATATGCTACGATCGTGTATGTTATTATTATTATTATTAAAAAGAAGAAGAAGAAGAAGAAGAAGAAGAAGAAGAAGAAGAAGATTAAATGCGATTGTCATTTTTTACGTTGTTTTCATTCGGTTTGGTTCGTAAAATAATTGTCAACTCCTTGTCTCACTCTCCCTTCTCCAACACATCTCCTCTCTTATCATCCTCTCTCTTTTTTCACTCACTCCTGTCTTTTGCTTTCTTCTCTTTCTCCCTTAATTCTCCATCTTCCCTTTCTCTCCTCTCTCTCTCTCTCCTCATCGCGTTCTCCCTCCTTTCCTCGTCCATACTCTCTTTCTTTCTCTTCATCTTTCACCTTCTCCTACATCTCTTTCTTCAGCCTATCCTACTTCATTTTCTCTTTCTCCCTCTTCTTATCACCACTTACTCCCCCCCATGTTCTCTTTTCCCCTCCTCTCCACCATCTTCTTTGTCTCTCTCTCTTCTCCGCCATATTCTCCTCCTCCTCCTCCTCTATCTTCACGCTATAGATATTCTCTCCTTTCTTTCGCTTTTTCTCTCTTTTCCATCCATATCTTTCTCTCTGGCATAAACAAAACGCGCATTCTAACAATGTAGATGCATTTGTAAGTAAACAATCCTTTCTTTTCCTCCCTATCTATTTATCTAGTTATTCATTGATTTTCTACCCAAATCCTCCATTTTCTTCTCCACCCTCTGAGTCTTTTTTCCAACACCAGGGTTTTATCGCAGAATCTGGGTCTTAAAATAAGCCGTCTTGTCCCTAATGTGGACACAGTTGTTCTATTTAAAAAAAAAAAAAAAACTATTCTAATGAATATGAAGAAAACGAAGGCCTTAGAACAAGGCCCGCCATTTTTTTTTTCTCGCCTCTAGCAATTTTATCTGAGACACTGCCGCATTTAACAACGGAGCTGAGGCATTTCATTTCAGATCTTATATTTATTGGCGGCTTGAAAGAATAAGAGCTTTTCGGATCGCGCCAGGCTTTTAAAAACAACCATCGACATTCGGCAGACATTTTTTGACAATTCCAAGACGACGACGATAATGATAATGATAGTGATGGTGATGGTGACGATGGTGATGCCCTGTCTCTGATCCGAAGATGGGGTAGATCACCTTCTAAACAATGGCGCAGTAAAGAGTCATGTTCCATGTAAATGGGTTGATGCAGAAGGATCTGAAGAAAATCTATTAGCAACCACGAGGAGACGGCATCAGTTGGATTTTTTTTTTCGGGGCTTTTTATTTGTTTGTTTGTTTCTTTATTGTTTCTTGGTTTGTCTTTTCTTTCCCAGAAACCAAATTGGAACTTCGGTTGTCGATTCATTTGGAGTTCGTGCGTCGATTGCTAATGTCTAATGGGTTGGCTGTTCCTCTGTAGAGATTGGTCGGTTCAAGTGGAGGTGTATGTGCGCATGTGTATGTGCGCACGCGCGTGCGTTTCTGCATGTGTGTGTTAGTGTGTGTGTGTGTGTGCGCGCGTATGCGGATGGGTAGGTAGCTGGGGTGGCTGGTTATTTGGGAAAGAATTAATTGTGGAGGGAACTTGGAATGACCGCGGGCGAAACAAAAAAAAAATCGGGAAAAAATGAATATCTTTGCTTCATTACAGAGAACAAGGTAATTCGTAAAAAGAAAGTTGTGGAACTCTCTACAAAAAGGAGGTTGACAAAGAGGAATTGACGGGAGGTGCCAGATGACGAAGTCGGACTAGAGACAACTCCATGATGATAATGAAATAGAGATAGGTAAAGATAAAAAGGTGGGAAAGTAAATAGCGTGAAAGCAATGGGAATAATGACTAACAGAGAAAATAATTAAAATGTCGCGAGATGGTGCAAAAAGACAAGAAAAGAAATATCAATGAGTGAGTGAAGAAACCAATGAGGTAAAAAAGAAAGCGAATAATGTAGAAAAAGATTCAATTGCATAGCGAGAGTCGGGGATACGAATTGAGGGGATGAAGAGGATAAATAATAAAAAGAGAAAGTAAAATTAGCTGAAGAGAGGAAAGAATTTATACGGAAAAGAAATAATGAGGGATGACACGATAAAAGGACAGTCAGAGATTGGTAAAATAAAAGAAAGAAATATAGAAAAAATAGAAAAATGATGCAATATAAAAGATATTGAGATTAATATTAATGATTTTATCGAAGAACAGAAAGAGAAGAATAAAATATTGATAATGTGTAGGAATTTCAATTTAGATAGATAGATAGATAGATAGATAGATAGATAGATAGATAGATAGATAAACAGGACTTGATCGATCGATAGATAGATAAACACGATCTCCATAGATAGATAGATAGATAATGAAAAGACTGTGATAGATAGATAGATAATGAAAAACTGTGATAGATAGATAGATAGATAGATAGATAGATAGATAGATAGATAGATAGATAGATAGATAGATAAACACGATTTGATCGATAGATAGATAGATAAACACGATCTCCATAGATAGATAGATAGATAAAACTCGACTCGGTCAATAGACTCGATCAATAAACTAGATAGATAGATAGATAGATAGATAGATAGATAGATAGATAGATAGATAGATAGATAGATAAAACTCGACTCGGTCAATAGACTCGATCAATAAACTCGATCAATAGATAGATAGATAGATAGATAGATAGATAGATAGATAAACAGGACTTGATCGATCGATAGATAGATAAACACGATCTCCATAGATAGATAGATAATGAAAAGACTGTGATAGATAGATAGATAGATAGATAGATAGATAGATAGATAGATAGATAGAACACGACTTGATCGATAGATAGATAGATAGATAAACACGATCCATAGATAGATAGATAGATAGATAGAGAGATAGATAGATAGATAGATAGATAGATAGATAGATAGATAGATAGATAGAAATGGAAAGTAGTGACGAGAAAGAATGGGAACTAAAATAATATCAATAAAAATAAAGAACAAGTATTTCAAATCGAGAGAAGAAGAAGAAGAAGAAGAAGAAGAAGAAGAAGATTGGCAGTGTCATGTGAAATGGGGAAAAAAGAGGAGGCAACAAAAAAGAATGAAGTTCCTAGATAATGAGAATGTGATGGTAATATTATTGAATACATACAATATAACGGAACAATGTCCAACGTGAAAAGGAGACAGAAAGAAAAAGTAGCAATGTCAAAAAAATTGAACATTAAAATAGTCGGTAAATGTAAGTAAATAGGTAATTAAAATACTACTATTGCTACTAAGAATAAGTGGACGAACATAGATAGATAGATAGATAGATAGATAGATAGATAGATAGATAGATAGATTATTAATAATCTATCTCAATTTATTAATAATCTATGTGAGATAGATAAATAGATAGATAGATAGATAGATAGATAGATAGATAGAATAAATAGATATGATTATGAATATGAGATATATTAGATGATAATAAATAAATATAGATAGATAGATAGATAGATAGATAGATAGATAGACGAAGATGGAAAGTGTCCCAGGTTCACAAAGTTGCGCGCAAAGGTGAAGCACGTGAATAACCTTAAATTTTTTGCCAAACTGAATCGACACAAAACGAGTGAGAAGAAAAGTTCCAATAGCGACCGAGATTTGTGCGAGTCGAGAGAGAAAACGTCAAAACGAGGCGAGGACGATGAGATGAAAACGGTTTGATAAAGATGATGAAAAAAAAAGGCAAGGAAGTATAAAGAAAGATTAGAAAGAAAAGGAACAGACATGAACAGAGTGAGAGGAGGGGGGTTGAGAGCGAAAAATATTGACTTCCGAAAAGAACTGACCTGTGATGAAGACAAGCAGAGTGACAAGATTGATAACTTGAAGGATGTAAGAAAGAGAATATGTCACGTAAGGAAAAGTAAAGAAAAAAAGAAATGTGCAATAATAATAATAATAATGACAATAATAATAATAATAATAATAATAATAATAATAATAAAGGCTACACCCCGGAAGAAAGAGAGAGGATGAGATACCGACAGGTTTCTGACCCACTTTTCCGTTGTTTGTGAATATGAGTGTTGAAGGTGGCCTATTGAGTAAGTGCCGTGACAATATACAATGTAGCATGGCGAAGTATGGCGAGACTCTACACGCCAGCGAAGACGGATGTCGTTCTATGAAGAAAAGAAAAAAAAAAGGCGCAAAGATAAAGACATTGCCGCCGCTGTCAGGCAAATAGTCATATTATGATGAAGTTTGCAAACAAATGGAAAAGTTATTTTGGCATGGAACGCGATGCATTGACCTGTGTAGAAATCAATTTGATCGGATCTTTATTTGCGTATGTGTATATGTGTAATGAAATACATTAGATTTGAAAGAAGAATTTGTGTATTTGAGCGAGTAATGAATGTGGTTATGCTTATATATATATATATATATATATATATATATATATAATGTATACGAAAATAAATCTTGTATAATCTTGTATAATATAGTATCAATATATACAAGTTGACACCAGAAATTTCCAGTATGAACGATATTGAGTGCGCATGCGTGTATGTTTGTATTGTTGTTAGGAATAATAAAGACTATATGAGAAACAAAGGGAAGAAGAGAAATCCAAAAAAGTGAAAGAGAGTATGTGAGAGAGAGTCGGTATGTATATATTTAAAATGGATTGATGTTTCGTGCGATTTTTAGATATCATTTTCAGGACAGAATGTGTGTAAATCCACCCTAAAGGCCAAGATACCTGCTCATAAGTTTAAAAAATAATCCTCTTGAAATTGAACCTGATGCGTCATTGATACTTTCGTGAGGAGAGCAGTGACATCAAGAAAGCTTGGCTCAAGTATGACACAAGGAAAAGAATTGAGAGGAATTAGATATCTTCCAAGTAATGAAAGCACACCAACCTAGAAAATCGGCATCTGAAATTCTTGCCTTTACTGAGGTTCGAACACTAACTACTGCAGCCAGTAGGAAATGCACAGTTTAGAAATATTTAAACTACCAGCTATATACAATGTTTTTTGTTTTCAGACCAATTATTAAAATGACGTCAAGCAAATGAATCTCCCCAGTCATAAAAAGATAACCTTTAACATCTTATAGATTGACTAGCAGTAGAGCCCGGCGTTGTCCGCCGGGGATGTAACAGTAAGAGATAGATCAAGTATCGACCATCATAAAGACTGAAAAATAAAATTGACAAAGATTATTGTTTAAGGTTGACCAACACGCATGTCTTAATTAGTTTTTTTTTTTTTTTTACGAATTGGTCAAACCCAAACTCAAACAAAACCATTGTTTTCAATCGTTATGAGTCTACCGATTGAATAGAATTTTATTATAAACAATTGTCTTGTAAATGGAATTTTTAAAGCATTCTGAATGTAAAAATAAAGGAAAAAGTGTGCAAGACAATAAGAAACACTACCTGCCAAAAAAAGTGAAGTTTTGTTGAAATCGGTTGAAAAATGTAGGAAATCCGATCCCATATGTAAACAACCTGAGTTTTATAAGTATAACTCGACATGAGTTGTCCCCCTTTCATTCTGACGACAGAATCGTGTTTTCAAATTGATTTCGTGCAAAAACAACTGTGTTTTTCCAAATTTTGGCGCTGTCAGAACCACCGCAAGGTAATTTTACGTAGTCCTGTGAAGTTTTGTTGAAATCGGTTGAAAAATGTAGGAAATCCGATCCAATATATAAACGTATACACACACACACACACAATCTGCGTTTTATAATAAGTAAGATGTTACAGAATCGCAAACAAATAAACAAAAGCTACATCATTTGAAGGCCTCCAACAACAGCAACATTGCAATTGGATTATACATGTAGCTAGAACGGAAAATAAGGATATAATCAAGATGTTGACTTTCCACACTACCTTAGACAAAGAGTTAGGAAGGAAACTCCGATAAATAACAGTGGCCTTAATAAGTCTATTTTCCTGGAAAAGTTTTTTATGAATTTTGGCCGACAGTAGCACTGGCTGCTCGATCAACAAATGCGGAATGTTTTACACACACACACACACACACACACACACATATATATATATATATATATATATATATATATATATATATATATATATATATATATATACAGAGGTTCAGCCTTGGATGGAGTCTGGGAGAAGGACAACTCTGATAGGGCAGTCGTGGATTCAGGAATTCAAAAAATAGCCTTCACCACAGAACAGACTGATGTCTGCTATAGCCTTGGATGGAATGGGCTCTTTGAATCTACCCTAGGAGATACGTCGAATTCAAAACCATATATATATATATATATAAATATTGACAAGGTATGATTTAAATTTTATTTTATATATATATATATATATATATATATATATATATATTTTTTGGGATAGATTTTTTTTTTGGGATAGAGAGTGTGTAAAAACTAATCATCGGATTAGTGGATCCAAGCACTTTCGGATAATATATTAACAGCTATCAGGGAGGTTTATTGGTTCGTCTGGATATGTAGAATATGTAAATATAAATAAAATAAAAAAGCTTAACTGCTATGACTTGTCAGTCCTCTTCAATGAAACCTCTCTCTCTCTCTCTCTCTCTCTATATATATATATATATATATATATATATATATTGTATAATAAAAACAAACAAGATACAAGAACAAGTGCACGATGTAAGATATAAAATATGCAAACAGAGCCAATGTAATAAATATAAAATCAATATTTAATATTAATGCTTTTCCGCGACATTAATAATATCTGATTATTGCATTTCTATATATATATATATATATATATATATATATATATATATATATATATATATATATATATATATATATATATATATATATCTTATATATATATATATATATATATATATATATATATATATATATATATATATTATCTTATATATATATATATATATATAAATATAAATATAAATATATATATATATATATATATATATATATATATATATATATAAGTCATTTTTTTAAATAAATAATTACATATTTATGTTATATTTTTTTAAATAAATATTACATATTTATGTTATAATTTTTTTTAAAATAAATAATTATACATATTTATGTTATAAATTTTTATATATATATAAAATAAAGTATTATTTTTAAATTGTCTGGCTGAATTTATTAAAATGCATCGGTCTAAAGAAGCAGGTAAAAATTATCTGTCGAAATAAATTTATTACCATCTTCAATGGGATTTTAAGTGTTTTTACTACGAATTATATATATATATATATATATATATATATATATATATATATATATATATTGAATCAGAAGAAATTGAAGCAGAAGTTCCCAATACTTATCGAAGGTCGACTCAGAGTTTCGAGATTTTCTCACTTGTCATGATTCGTATAGGAAGATAAATTTATGATAAATTGAAGTGCAACAAGATTTTTTTTTAATTTAATTTTTCTACATTTTAGGTCATTTTTGTAACCATTTCACGCTAAGAAAGGCAATAAAGCCACAAAGATGCATGTGGTTACTGCGTCTGAGAGAATAAGAGAAAAAGAAAACATTATTAAGGTAAGAGAACAAAAAGAACAGGAATTAAGAATACAGAATATAATGATTGACATTGCATTTAATGAATTTAATTTAAGCGCAGTATTAGTTTGACGGTAAGATCACATCATTTTACAGGTGGAATGGCTAGATGTAACCGTAAGTTCTATAATAAGAGTTTCTTCTATCGCACTTCTTGCTTGTGGAAACTCTCTCTCTCTCTCTCTCTCTCTCTCTCTCTCTATATATATATCTTCCTGTTTCTTGTTTTGCAATTAAGTTTGATCTTCAAAAAATATCAATCGTTATCTTAATTCCTGCTTCTTTATTGTCCAATCTCCTTAGTAATCTTTTTTCTTTTTCTCATATTCTTTCACATTCAGTAACTCCTTGAGTCTTAGTGTCTTTATTGCCTTGTTTGTGGTGAAATGATTAAAACAAAAGTAATTAACTGATCCCCCCACCCCAAGAATGATAACCTGTTTTTTTAATCATTTTACTCCAAGCAAGGAAACAAAGCCACTAAAATGCAGGGGCTTACTGAATCTGAAAGAATATATGAAAAAAAAAGCATTATTAAGGAGTGAGAAAAATAAAAGAACATAAATTAAGAAGATAACGATTGATATTGCATTGAAATTTTGTGAAGATCAAAATTGACTGAAAAGTAAGAAGCCAGAAGAGAGTTCCACAAGCGAGAAGTACGAGTAAAGAATCTGTTAACATAGAACTTACGGTTACATTTAGCCATTTCATCTGTAAAATGATGACACCTTACCACCAAGGATCTCTAAATGTAGAAATGGACCACCAGACCAGATGTGGTAGCAATGGACGAATGGTAGACATGAATATTTAAAGGTAGATTCGGACGGGGAAAATTGTCTAGAACGACACAGTAAATCAACTTTATTAGCAGCAGACCTGGCCATTCATATTATTTGGACATATAATTTGGAAAATATATTTAAAAACTAATGTGTAAATCTTCTAATAATAGAAAGGAGTTGATAAAAGAAGCTGGCATTTTTTATGGCATCGGTAAATTAGTGAAAAATAAGCACCTAGGATTATTTTTTAATTTACATAGGCAGACAAATTCTCTTATAGATTTAAAAGATATTTTAAATAATCGCATATCAAAGTACGAATTGTTATGTTATAAAAAGATTGCTTCAGTTCCGATTAGGCTTTTTATAATATCTCCCACCACCAACAGGAAGCAAGCAACCATGACTCTCTACAGCTTATATTTCTGTATTATCTGTCAATTGACATGCATTCTTGGGAAAAATAGTTGGGTGGTTTCCCGTTGCCTTCTCCACAGTTTGAAATGACATGTTTCTTCAGGATGTAAGTGATCACGGCTCTCCACATCTTCCTTTTCTTTATTATCTTCCAATTGACATGCTTGGGAAAAGTAGTTGAGTGGTTTCGTTGCCTTCTCCACAGTTTTAAATGCCATGTCTCTTCAGGATGTAGGTGATCACGGCTCTCCACATCTTCCTTTTCTTTATTATCTACCAATTTGCATGCATTCTTGGAAAAGGTAGTTGAGTGGTTTCCCGTTGCCTTCTCCACGGTTTTTAATTCAAATTTTTCCTTAGACTCGTTGCTATCCAAAGCTAGAGGTCCCAGTGTTCCTTGCTATTTAAACCATAACTAGTGGGGCGAAGAAGAGATTGATTTGTGTCTTTCCCAAGGACCTTTCTGCGAAAGACAACGTAACAGACTAGCCTGAAATTTGAACTTTTTTCGCCGATTTTATTTTCCGTACAGACATCCTTTACACTACCGAAATATTCGGCATTTCATTCTGATTTTTACGTAAACAGCAATAGAAATGTGGTTCTACAGAAGGATGCTGACAATTCCAGTGAAGGAGCAGGTAAGCAACAAGGAAGTCTTAAAGAAAATTACAACAGAAAAAACACTTTTACTCAAAATCAGGAAGTGACAATTGAAATTCCTTCGACATGGTGCTTCAATATGATATGGCCGTAAACCATACCATCCGCATATCGAAGCTTACAGAACCCGCCATTATCAAATTGTTACCCATCTAGGTATTAACCAAGCTCGACGTTGCTTAACTTCGGTGATCGGACGCGAACCAATGTTTCAACCAGATATGGCCGTAAGTCATACCACCCGCACATCCAAGCTTACAGTATATGGTTTTCTCAAATGGTCACCCATTTAGATACTGATTAGGCTCGACGTTGCTTAACTTCGGTGGTCGTACGAGAACCAGTGCTTCAACCTGATAAGCCCGTAAGCTATACTATCCACACATCCAAGATAACAATACCTGGTATTCCCAAGCGGTCACCCATCTAGGTACTAGCCAGGCTCGACGTTGCTTAACTACGGAAATTAATAACACGAACCTGACCAGATATTGTACTCTATGTTCTATTATATGGTATTTAGCCCATAAAACACAAACTCGGAAGAATGTCAATAAATGACGGATATGCCGTTTTGTGCCTTTGGCTTACAGTACGCCCGATTAGGGACATTGTCCTTTCTCGTCAGATAACATTAATAAGCCTAGCTAATCAATCCTTGCATATCAATAGAAGTTGATTCAAAAACCCGAAAAGCGCCTAATAACAAAATCAAAAGGACACCTTTCTCTATCGATTTCATTGTCAACACATTGAGCAAAAACAAATCCAATTCATGATTTCTGATAGAGAAACTTACCCTGTTCGTTTGGCAGTTTGTGCAGCAAATAATTGTGGTAGATGCCCAAATGAGGTGTATTCTAAGGAGAATTGTTTAATTTTTTATTTCAAACATGAGAAACAAGGGAACATTTTCGTCTCTTGTCTCTTACCACTGCCAATTTAGTTTTATCAGCTTTGTAAAAAAAAAAGCATAAACTGACTTAATAAAAATTTACATTCTTATATTCTCTTCCTATGAAAGACAATTCTATAAATATATGTGAGGTACAAGGCTACACTCATAGAATTCCCAGGAAAATCTGAACTTATCAGCAATGATTCATAAATAACCAAGAACTATTCACAAATGTGGTCCGATAATGCAGAAACCAGAGGCGTGATGAAGATGCAAGTTTCCTGTGGTCCTTGTTCGAATCCAGGCAAAAACTTTAATTTCTAATGCTGATTTTTCAAGCAAGTCGACGTAGATTCAGTCGGCTTCGAAACTCAATGAGTCTACGAGTCTACCTGCAGACGATCTGTTCCACTTTCTGGTTAATTGGTCTGATGCTGAACGAAGACAGGCTAAGTAAATATCTATATATATATATATATATATATATATATATATATATATATATATATATATATCCGATGCGATGAGAACGAAAGTAATATATAAATTCCAACGTTCCCAGTATTAATCCAAAAGAGGGCTCGATACCGATAGTAGAGCGAGAATTATTTATTTATTATAATTTTATCATATAGACAAAACCATTTTACTCACTACAAAGATGCAACTTGGTTTCAGTGCATTTCAACTGCACTTCGACCGTTTAAATGCACTGAAACCAAGTTACATCTTTGTAGTGAGTAAAATGGTTTTGTCTATATGATAAAATTATAATATATATATATATATATATATATATATATATATATATATATATATATATATTGCCTTAAATATACAAAACGCATTCTTTAGGGGATCCTTTTTTCGACCAACACTTCAGAAGAAAAATACGTTGCTACATTCTTAAATAGACAAAATGAAACAAATTCACACAGCTATATACAGAAGGGTTAAATGAGGAATCACGACTAAAATTGGAATATGTATAAAGAGATGTTACAGACCTAGAAGAAGTATCAAATTTATGATAACTATTTAGAATGTAATAATTAGAAGAGAACTCCAGTCATCGATTTTCGATTTATAGGTTTGCAGGTTAGTTTTTTGAAGATATTTTATAGGGGAAAAATGCGACTTATATTAAGCAAAATACGGCACTTGATTTTCAAGAGATTTTTAAAGTGTCTCAAATTTTCTGTCATCATTTTTAAATTAAAATGGTGGATGGATGATAAATTGAACGTAAGTACCGTTTCAAAATGTATTAAAGCTTTATTGTAATGCATAAAATTATTTTTCAAACAGAACAAACATTTTACTAAAAAGAGACATGTAAATTATTTTTAATGCATTTTTATATTATTTTAACGTTTTTTTAAGATTTGGGCGGTATCTAATTTACGTATATATATATATATATATATGTTTCTCGTTTAGGAGATTTTTGTATATATGGATAGAACGTTGTCTTTTCGAAGTAGTTTCCATGTTCAGACAAGATGAATTGGGATCAAATACAGGCATCATTCTATCCATATATACAAAAAAACTCCTATAAAAAACTCGATCAGTATTTGATCCCAATTCATTATGTCTGAACATGGAAATTACTTCAAAAAGTTCACAACATTCTATAAAAAAAAAAAACAACTCCTAAGCGTGAAATATGTTAGATTGAATATATATATATATATGTGTGTGTGTGTGTGTGTGTGTGTGTGTGTGTGTGTGTGTGTGTGTGTGTGTGTGTGTGATAAAAAGGCTTAAGCACTAGTACTCCATGGTCATAATTTATTACATTGGAATTAATACGATCCAATTCATTAGACCTACAAATTCAAAAAATTGAATTAGTAGGTCTGATGAATTGGATCGTATTTACGATTCCAATGGAATAAATTATGACCATGGAATATTAGTGTTTAAGCCTTTTTATTATATCCTTACTCTGTCCTGGACATTGAGTTCTACCTGGATTCTATCGTCTTGGAATTTTTTTGCATATATATATATGTATATATATATATATTTGTGTGTGTATGTATGTATGTATGTATATTTGTGTTTTTTAGATATATGCATATATATGTATGAATATTAACCACTAATATATATATATATATATATATATATATATATATATATATATATATATATATATATATGATCTCTCGCGTCGATTTAACGTATAATGGTGAGGTAGTTAAGTTTTAGAACTGAACAACTAGACCAAGCACACATTTAATTTGATTGTAGTGGTAAAGGCTTGAACCGAAAGTTACACTTTTCGGAATACCGAAATCTCCTCAAGTTTGAATTCGAGACTGGCTACCGCTCAAGGCAAGAGAGCACAGTTTGCCCTGCTATTTAATCTGGACTAGTAAAAAAAAAAAACAACAAAAACAAATAAAACAACTTGTAGGTACAGTGGAGTAATGGGTAGCGGTTCGGATTGAGGAATTAGAAAACCGAGTTTGAATTTCAGTCGAGTTCATTGAATTCACTTACTCGCCATTTTAGGGAAAGGTATGAAACCATCTCTCTTCCCTCCACCACCACCAGCTATGGTTACATAACAGGTATATTTACCAGGCAGAATGTAACACAAGTTTGTTTTAACGTGGGGAGCGCCACACGAGCCAGGGACAAAAAAACGTTGTTTTGTCCAGCCGTCCACCCTCCGACCCCTGTCACACTAACATCGGTATTAAACCGAACCTCTAAAACGAGGAAAGTGCTACCGCAGGACTGGAATACCAAGCTGAGCAACTTCTCCCATCTAAAATTAGGAGAAAAATAGCTCCACTTGTAGCACAGGAGCAATAACTACGCCTCAATAAAACCTCATTGGGTAATGGTTAATTTCTGTGTCAGGTAAGTAAATAACAGGACAGACTGGGCCCTATAGCCTTGGTTGGCTACAAGTCTCGGAAAAGGAATACTCTGAATTCAAACCACCTGCTGCCTTGTAGGTCTAGCCTCTTTAAGCAAAGTCTAGAAGAAGGTAAGAAAGAGAAAATCAAATCCACTTCGCATGTTCTCTCTTCTGTTCTTCTTGTAACGGCATTCACCCGAGGTGGGTTGAGCCGGCTCTAATATTGGAGTTTCATGGGAATTTGGAATTCACAAGTGGTCCCCAACCCGCATGTATAGCACATGAGATTTGATTATAGTGGTGAAGGTTTCGTGCAGGACCATCCACACTTTTTGAAGGGCTGATTACAGAGACCTGGCGCACTAAGTGCCACAAGGTCCCCAAACGACCCTCCGCAGGTTTTGAATTCAGAGTTGTCCTTCTCCTAGACCAGATGCCATCCAAGGCTATAAAACCCAGTCTGTCCTGCTATTTACCCATAGCTGGAGGGAGAAGAAGAGGATTTACACCTTTCCCAAGGGTATTAGCACGTAAGTGAATGTAATGGATTCGCATGTCGTTTCAAAGAAAGTAATTGGCACTCCTACTTCGAGCCGCGACAGAAAATAATGGACTCCTTTGGCTTCATACAATGATTCGAACAATCATAAGACTGTGACGCGTTACGGTGCTGTGGACCTCTCTGATTCCGGACCATTCGCCCAAGGCCTTAAAAAAGTAGAGCGTTCGTCAAGTAAATATGTTGTTCAACGATGGCCTTCATACATGCGTTCAGGAAATTTTAGTACATTTTATGGCGTTGTGCTGATAACTGTTCACCTTGTACGCTCATAATCTTGACTGAAGCAGACGTGTCGCTCAAAACTGTGTGTTCGGCCTAAAAATAAACGTCGCTAAAAACCTAGCGAAGCATTATGAGAATCTCAGCAGCAGACTTAGCAACCTTCACGCAAAATTGGATAATTTGATGTAGGCACGTTAATCTAATTCGTCAGAGCTCGTAAAGTTCGCAGAGCCGTTCCAGTACAACTTTACAAAATATCGCGTCAATTAAATACGAGTAGATAGGATGTTTTATATATAGATAGCATCTGTCAGCAGTTTCCCTGTTATTTTTTTTTTAAATCGACGTTTTATTTGGTCCTTAATAATGACTTCATATAACGTGAACTTTGCCATAATGTCTGGGTGGAATCGGTATATCTGTTTTCGAAAACTGAAAGAGAATTTATTTGGTTGTATTATTTTGTTTTTACTAGGTTGTCCAGAAAGTCCTGACTCACTCAGGAAGTGGAAAGAAAACAACAAATCTTGATCTCTGTCTGATGGAATTTCTAAAGAGTATTGCATTTCAAGCTCGTTCCAAGCGGTCGCGCCATCAGGGCTAAACTTCATTGCCAGCGGTTAGACTGCGTGCACAACAAATTAAAGAAGGAATATCCTGCTTAGGTCAATCGAGGTTGAGCTTTGTTTCAATAAGACAATGCGAGATCACACATTGCCAGCTTGGCTAAAGAGAAGTTCAAACAGATGGACAGTTTTCAGATTCTTCCATATCCACCATTCCGTCTTGATGCTGATCCGAGTGACTATGGCATATTCCGTATAATGCCACACTTCCACCGCGACCAGCGATTAAACACTTTTGATGAATTGAAGGCATTCGACAAACTTAGGCATTTAACGAT